GCAAGTAGACCCTGCTGATCCTCAAACTCACTATGTTGTAGCATATGCAAGCAGTGCCCTCTCGCAAGTTGAGCAGAGATATTCACAAACAGAGCGAGAAAGTCTTGCAGTTATTTGGGCTTGTGAACATTTTCACATATACATCCATGGAAAACCAATCACTATCATCACCGATCATAAGCCATTAGTATCTATCTATGGGAATCCAAACTCTACTCCTCCTCCAAGACTTGGAAGATGGGCAATGAGACTTCAGCCTTATGATGCTAAGATCATAACACAGCTGATTACATATCTAGACACCCGTACAAGGCCCGAGTCAAAACGAGCCGAGAGGAGAAAATAGCCGAAGAATACATAAACTACATAACAGCCACATCCACCCCCTAAAGCAATCACCATAGATTAAATAGAATTAGCAACAGAAGATGAAACGCTGAAAGCTGTTATGCAAGAAACAAAATCCGGAAAATGGTATCGCGGACATACAAACCCATTAGTCAACTCACAGTTCTACACCCGCTGTGAAAAAGTGGAACACGAATTAGCCGTTTGTGGCAATGGAAAACTGGTGTTGCAGGATCGTGCGGTTTGCATTGCTCATGGAGGTCATATGGGCATTGTAAAGACAAAAGCCCTACTTCGTGAGAAAATTTGGTTTCCAAGGCTAGACAAAGCAGTTGACCAGGTTGTTAAAAGTTGTATCCAATGTCAGGCAGCAACAGCCACACCCAGCAAAGAACCCCTACTAATGTCCAAGTTACCAAAAGGTCCATGGAAGGAGTTAAGCATTGATTTGGATGAATTGCCTTCAGCATATCATCTCGTCATAATCGACGATTATTCTCGATTTCCTGTAGTAGAAGTCATCAAATTAGTTAGTGCTGCAACTGTCATTCAAAGAATTGATAAAATCTTTTTTGGTGTACCAAATGTGCTAAAATCCGATAATGGATCACCATTCAACAGTAGAGATTTCCAGCTTTTCGCAAATGATCTAGGCTTCAAACGTCGTAAAATCACACCATACTGGCCAAGGGCGAATGGTGAGGCAGAACGCTTCATGAAGACCATCAAGAAAGTCATCAAGGCTTCCATAGCAGCAGGTAAAAACTGGAAACAAGAAATGTTCAGATTTCTTCGCAACTATAGTGCATCACCACACTCAAGTACCAATGTACCACCAGCAACCGCATTGTTCTCTAGACCGTTACACATTAAACTGCCAGGGGTTGTCACGACACCAGAGGACACAGAAATGCGTACGAAAGATGAAATAGCAAAGGAAAAGATGAAAATGCAGGCTGATAGCAAATCGTATGTTCAGCCGTCTTCATTGAAAGACGGAGATGTGGTCTTGGTTAAACGCATTTGTAGAAAGAGCAAGATGGAGACACCTTATGACCCTCAACCACATGTCATCACAAAGAAAAAGGGTTCGATGATCTCAGCTGCAAGTGGTGATCATTCTGTAACACGAAATTCATCTTCTTCAAGAAGATTGGAGATCAGTGTGAATCCACAACTGAAGCTGAAAAGAGAGATATTAGTTTTGCTGAAGATGAAGCTGAGTCACCAAAGCCGAATAGGAAGCGTCCAGCTTATCTTCAAGACTATGTAACTCATGTTGGTTAAACCTTCAACATTGTCATGAATGAATGAACACTGATTGATATCTTGATTGCGTTGATTGAACTTTAAATACATCATGAGCTGATATTGATCAATAGTTGATTGTGATTTCATTTTATTGAACTGGGAATGAATACTTACCAATCAGTTTTATTGTTTTTACAGAACTTATTTTTTTTAAAGAACATTGATTCATATAGTAATTTTATAGACTGATTGGATATTGCATGAAACGTTGTCATAAAAAAAATATTGTTTAAGAATTATAGTGATACAAGAATTATAACCACACTAATACAGATGTATTCATACAGTCTTATTTTAAAACTATAATTTGTTTGAATTTTTTTTTTTGCTTAAAAACGAATCATAACAATCAAAACAAGAATATTTCAAATCTAACAATGTTGTTTTATTATGAGTTAGGCAAAAATAATCAATATTCTTATGAAGAGATCTCACACAAAAGTATTGTATAGCATCTTATTGATATTCATTGAACACAGTTAATCATGAATAATGGGGTATACTTTAATTTCAACAAAAGGAGGGATGTGATGTTCAAAGCACACAGTATTGCAAGTTAACATACATAGCACCCTCTGGAGCAGGGAAGTGAATAAATAGTTCAGTAACAAATCGTTCAATGGACTCCAGCATGTTATTTTTGCTCTTTTAACACAACATAGTAATAATTATCAAAGCACATAACACTAATTAATTGGTCTACGGACGTACGACATCATTTTTCGTCACCCTCTTTTATATTTATATTATGTATTTCATGAAGGTGATAAGAATTCATTTGATTTACTTTTCACTTCATGGAGCAGTTTCAATTGTTTATGTCCTTGCATAAGTGTTTTTTGTTTTGTATGGAAAGCGTAGGAGGAAAGATTATAAAACAATCATCAACGAACGTACCGTACGCCTATCTGGTATGTTTTACATGAATGCTAGCCAAGACATAGTATATGTCAATTTTATTAACCAACAATATGAATGTAGGCCTAAATAAGAATGTAGTTAACTTAAGCCGCAAGGCTTAAGGACAAACGTGGGCTCTGGTAACATCCAGCTATGGTAAATAGCCCCACTGCCTTGTGGGCAACTGTTCATTAGTAAAGGCTAAGGGAGTTAACCCTGAATTAAAATCTGGAGTGGAGCCCCATAGGCAGTTTAGTGCTTCACTGAAGACTTCTCTGGCAACTCCTGCAGTCGACTTGGTTCCAAATGTATTGATTTTGCCTTTCCTTTAAATATAATCAACAAGACCGAGAGGGGGAATCTGACGATTGGGCAACCCAGTTTCCCCATACTGAATGCCCAGGCTAGCGCCCTGGAGAGGACACTCCAGCTACGTTCAGACGTAGGACCAACACGGAGAACAGTTACCGGTTTTAAGCCCAAGCTAAATTGGCGTATAGCTGAGCGCCAGGGGTTGTTTTCGACTGTGGGAGAGGTTATTTAACTTCATTAGACAGCTACCGCCCGCTTTAAACTGAGCAGCCCTCAATCAGTTAGGTGTTGTCTCGCCACTGGACACTTGCTTCACGGGGTGCGTGGAGCATAGGGTAATTCCCGAATAGTGGACAGCAATAATTGCACCAGCAAATCATAGACAACTTAAGAGACCAGCACTCAAACTGGGACGCTGGAATGTACGTACGATGACGACCGTACTATCAAATGACTTCCAAAAAATCAGTGACCTGCGGAAAACAGCCGTAATCAACAATGAGTTACTTCGTCTGCAGATAGACATTGCTGCTCTCCAAGAGACACGCTTAGCAGACTCAGGATGCCTAAAAGAAAACGACTACACTTTTTTCTGGCAAGGCATGAAGAAAGACGAAGCCCGAATTAATGGCGTGGTGTTTGCCGTCAAGAACACACTCATTGACGCTGTTGATACTTGGAACTGAAACAGAACGATTCCTTTTGATGCGTTTGAATACCATCAATGGTCCAGTGAATTTGCTTTAGTGTCTAACAACACTCACAGCCAAGTCAAAAATTCCTTCTGTACTCAACTAGATACTCTCATAAGACATTTCCCAAAACAAAACAGGAAGATCTGTGTATCCTAGGCGATTTTAATGCACGAGTCGGCTCTGACTGCGAATTTTGGAATTGGAAAGATCAACGAAAATGGTCAGCGCCTGCTTGAAATGTGCCCATAACACAATCTGTGCATTACTTTTCTTTAGCACAAAACCATGCCACAAAGTATCTTGGAGGCATCCAAGATCCAAGCATTGGCACCAGCTCGACCTTATCATATCAAGAAGGCATCAACTGGTAGACATTCTTATTACCCGTACTTATCATAGTGCAGACTGTGATACAGATCAGTCTCTCATCTGTTCTAAAGTAAGACTGCATCCCAAGAAACTTTAGAGTTTGAAGAAACCAGCAATGCCACGTATTGATCTAACAGCGACCACTCATCCAGATAAAATCAAGAGGTTCAAATTATTGCTAGCCAATTCATTTAGTAAAACAGACAAATATTCAACCGCTACAGAACACTGGACTCATTTAAAAACAGTCACTCACTAAGCAGCAATAACAGCATTTGGAGCCAAAAGAGGAAGCTCAAAGAATGACTGGTATCCGATGCATGCCTATAGACTTAATCCTCTCATTGAAGTTAAGCGTACTGCTCTTCAGGAGTATAAGAACATACCTTCGATTAAATCTCATTTTGCTTTGCAAAATGCCAGAAAGGCTGTTCAAAAAGCTGTTCAAAAAGCACTAACGAATACTGGAGAAACCTTTGTACCAATATTCAACAGGCATCTGATATGGGCAATACTAAAGGCATGTATGAGGGCATAAAACGAGCCATCGGTCCATCTGTAAAGAAAACAGCACCTCTGAAATCAATCAGGGTAAAATCATTACTGACAAGACTAAACAGCTAGAGAGATGGGTAGAGCATTACTCTGAGCTCTATTCTAGAAAGAACAAGGTACATCAGTCTGCTCTGGATGCCATTGAACGCTTACCAGTGATGATTCAACTGGACATGAAGCCCACACTTGAGGACCTATCCAAAGCAATTGATAAACTACCATCAGGGAAGGCCCCAGGAAAGGACAGCATACCTGCAGAAGTTTTAAAAAGTGGAAAGTTAACTTTACTTAACCCGCTCTATAAACTCATCTGTCAATGTTGGGACAAAGGAACCATACCACAGGATCTGAGAGATGCAGCCATCGTGACCCTGTACAAGAACAAAGGGGACAGGAGCGATTGCAATAACTATCGGGGTATATCTTTGCTGAGCATAGTTGGCAAACTATTTGCCCGATTAGTTCTCACCAGACTGTAGATTTTGGCAGACAGGTCAACTACAGATATGATCTTCTCCATTCGTCAGTTGCAAGATAAATGCAGAGAACAGAGAAAGCCCTTACACCTAGCTTTTATTGACCTCACTAAGGCATTTGACCTGGTTAGCAGAGATGGTCTGTTCAAAATGTTACGACTTATAGGATGCCCTCCCAAGCTCTTGGACATTGTGAAATCCTTCCATGATGGCATGATGTGTACTGTCCAGTATGACGGGTCTATGTCTGAGGAGTTCAGAGTTAACAGTGGAGTTAAGCAAGGTTGTGTGCTTGCACCAACCCTCTTCGGCATCTTTTTCGCATTTTTAATCAACTAGCTGAAAAGCAAAAAAAAGGAAATTAAGAGAAAAACAAACACCAACTGACCAAAACACAGCAGTGTTCAAATGCCCGGGCTGCAACAAATTATGCAAGTCCCGTATAGGACTGTACAGTCACACCAGACGCTGCTCCCTGTCAACTTCAACAGGCGCTTCTCCATAGTCTGAAAAGACTGACGGATGCCAATGATAATGATGCCGAATTATATTATTAAATTTAACGTCATAAGCATAGACTCGTATCTAGGCCTAGGCCAGGATGGCTGGTCTCACTCGGGCCATCATGCGCCGTCACATGTGTAGCACCAACGCCACAGCCAACTCGCTAAACGCCACACGGTAAATGTGTGATGTTTTCAGGTAATTTAACGGTTCCTTGGGCAGACAGTACTGTATAATTATGTATGACGACACCATACAAGCCACACCTCCCTCGCTGAAGTCGTGGTATTTAGCAACTACTCAAATAAGTTCACAAAAGACTGAATTTAAGGTTCTGGTGATAAATTAATTGTTACTGAGTAACATTCAGCTGCAAAACTAACGCAGTAAATAACTGTGAAGCGAACAAAAGGTAAATAATTAAGAAAATTACAATGGGATGCTCTGAATAAGGATATACTAAGTGCAAGTTGTAAAGTTGATTTCACTTTTCTCAAAGGATAGGGCAGTTAATCTAAGACACTAATATCCTTTGCAATACCCAAATGGAATCTGCACTTAACATGTCGTACAGCATGAGCAGTGTAATTACCCCAAGAAGAACCTTGTAACTTACATGTGGTACATTTTGTGGTGCCATAATGTCGCAATGTTTAAACATTCTTTAACTTTTTTGTGAAGCCTACAAAACCTAATAGCATTATGCGCTATATAAGTGATACTTATTATTATCATTTATTATTTGTTATTTTGACCGTTTAATTATTACCCAAGTAAAATGTTTTAGCATGTATAGATTTTGGCAAAGACGAACCAAATCAGTCACTCATCGCAAATTGTGTTTCTGAGATAATTGCCAAATTATGTTGGAATATCAACATTTTCAAAATCAATTTTATTGCACTAAACTAAACTGTATATATCTATACATCATGCTATGTTATTATTTTCCAATTTCCAATGTTCAAACATTATTTTACGATTGGTGATAATCTCTGCCTAAGAAATGTCTGAAATCGTAAACTTTGAAGGCTGATTTCTCAAATACTGTTTTTAAAACAGCTGTATATGTAAACTTCTGTATCATAATCAAATTTCGGATTTAAATGATTCTTTTTTATATGAAATATAACTTTAGTTCTACTACTTAA